CTCTTATTACTAAGCAGAGTGGTCTGTGTGTTTTGTTTTGAGTGTGAGACGTGTCCTAACTGTCTGCTCTTATAGCTTATAGCTCCACAGCGCGCACGCTGCACGTCTTAAAACTTGCTGTAATTAGTTTCTTGTAAGGGATTTGTATATATTTAACAAAAATTACACCTATTCTAGAAAACTTGACGTTGGTGTTGTGTGCCTTGATTCATTACTGTGGGTACATAATACATCTTTCAGTGCTTACTCTGTCGCTTCTACACTTGGACGACCGATTGAAGTCCAATTCAAAGTTTGGATGAATCGCGGACCCTCTCGCATAAAAAATCCCTGTTTGTCACACATACAAATTATGAAAGCTGCAGCCACACAAGAACAAGTCGCACGATTTGCAAGGCAAGCTCACCACCCAGACAGACCTCTCGAAGCAATGAGAATCGCCAATATACAGGGTGACAGTAATTCTCCAACTCAAATTACTATTTGCCGACGCTGGACCATCCACCCGGTCGGTGTTTATTAGGGCCCCTTGCCACTACGACGGTGAATAGTGTACATTTCAATGATCTAGAGCAATTGTGACACCTCCTAGCATGTAGACGAATTCCATGACGCCTCCCTTGAAAATTCGATGCCTGCCGGAACCGCTTCCAGGAGCGTAGATGCCTGGCCTCATTGACTGAGTCATTGAGAAAAGAATCCCAACGATTGCTAGATTGCTGATCTTATTTTGGAATCTGAAGTGACCTCGCACCTCGTTCTGCAGATTCATTGTATATTGTGGATCTCGGAACAAGAACAAGAGCGTCAGCGAGACGCTCATAATGGCTGCAATATCGGCGAACATGACGAGCATGATGAGCATGGCTAATTTAATCTATATTTGGTCTTGAAAGAGGCTAAAATCTTTTCCTGATCACCAAGAGATAGTACATAGGGTCATTGACCCTACCTGGATGTACCAAGGTTCCTCCCTTCTTTACGTCGACAGCAACGTAGCAGAAAGGTTCTATCTCTGTGACCTTGCGTGCACAAAGGGCCATTTGAAAATTCTTACGAGGCGGCTGGAATGCCTGTGGGAATGAGGTGACGATCCATTTTGTGAAGGCTCCCGCAACTAGAAATGTGAGAATGCCCAACATGACTTCTAATTGAGCTGCTAGGGCAAGCAAGGCATTTGAGCCTATGAGCTTGACCTTTCATCTTATCAGGCTCCCGTAACTGATTCAGAGTCTTTATATAGCTGGGTAAGATACCAGTGTTCCTCATATGCTAACAGTATAGCATGTTTGCAGTAAGGTTGTTTTCCGCGTTGTTTTCAGCCAGGGGATCTAGATGGCAGTTGTACCTGGTAATTTATGTTTGTTCGATAGGCTCTTGCATTCTGAGTTCCTAAGCTCAGAAGACGGACTGCAACGCTTTCCGGGGTCTGCAACGGCCCTTTACACCTGTTTTGGCGAGAGCTCTGTGCGGAGGTCATGCATTCCGGGTAAAAGTCCACTTGATAAGGGCTATTTTTGGTTAAAGCATCATCATGTAAATGTTCAACGCAAATCCTGGCGGTGTGGCACAAATAGACATCTTGGAAATACTGCAGTATATGCACATTGGCCAGAACCATGACCCGCACTAGACATTCTACGTCACCACCCCTAAGGGTAAAGAACCTTGACTGTATCCATCTTCCTACGTATTGTGCGTGGGCTGTTTGGTTTCCGATGTCCAAAAGATAGTAGGATGGTTAGTGAGTCCGTCTCGGGCCCACATACATTTCGAGCGCACCAGTACACGCACGTGATGAAATCAAGGGCAAAGGAATCCTCGAAGGTATTGGCAGCCGAGGGTCACATCAAGTGAACTACCGTGAACAGACTAGTCAAAAACAATTTGACCCCCAATGCCGCCAATGACTGCCCGACAAGTTGAAACAAAGCATGATGTTGCAGAAACTGCCAAGATGGTAATCTTCCAAAGTGGGGATGCAATGCCCAAATGCAGTCAATACTCCGAAACTTGAGCCTCTCAAGCCCTGCACACCGCAACACCAAGCCAATGCAGATTGAAAACTCCCAGTCGCCATGGGAAAGTAATATGCCTATCTGGATGCATAACTCTGAGAGGTGTGGGGAAACACAGAAAGTCCGCCATACATATTGGGAGAGATTGCAGGCCCACCTCCCACCTCCTTAATAAAGCTGTAGGGCCGTCCCTATCATGCACCCTGGACATTAAGAGCTGCAAGTGACCATGGCAGTAGGTGTGTTGAGGGTAGTTCCCGCCATGCAGTACGCTATAAAACTCACGATGGAGGTGCAGCATTGCCGTATCGCATTGCTCCAGCCACTGTTGTTTCTTCTCGATCAAGCAGACGCATCTCTACAGTATGCAGTTCTCTCTTCTCCTCGTCGCAGCATACGCCTGCAGTGCCTCAGCACGCCTTAACTGGTCGCTGGCAAAAGCATCCAACCCCACCGGCGACCAAGCAGACGCCTACGCGAGAATCGAAGCGGCCATGACCAAAGCCGTTGCGCGCTACCACAAACTCTCAACGGTCAACAAGACTATCTACGTCTCCTACGTACCAGGCGTCCCCACTGCCGACGCAAACTACGCCGGCAGTTTGCGCTTTGGCTCCAACCGTGCATACATGACCGAACGCACAGCCATGCATGAAATCTCACACACGTTGGGCGTGGGGCAGACGGCAGCTTTTGATAGGAAATGTGCAGCGGGGGATTGGAGGACGGCGCTGCCGCTGCTTCGGAGCTTTGACGGCGCCAATGCAAAGATCAACTGTGGCGGTAGTCATTTCTGGCCGTATGGGCTAAACTACGAGACCGAGTGGAGTGAGACGAATGCGGATAGACATGTCAGGATGGTCCAGGCAATGGTTAATGATGGCATGTGAAGTTGGGCAGGGTCATGAATTGGTCTTCGTTTATTGCTTTTAATCGTGGTTGTAGGCCCGCATGCCACCACGCATTGCTACTGCGTACTGCTGCCTACTACTATAGCCATCGATACTGCAGTGACCATTGCACGTACTGGCTCCAGACCCTTGATATACTGTTCAAGTTATGTTCTGGTTTGACGCTAATTTACCAATTAATCGATCATCATCTCCTGTTGCATGCAATCATGAGTCATGTTGAGCAGCTTTTTCGAAATATTACTTCCTTTCCGACTACCTAAAAGTCTTCTCATCCACCCAATATCCACGTAGTGGCATTGGAGTCGAGTGTAGAGGTTTGCCCAAGTTAATGCGGTAGGCTTATGGCTAAGGCCAGCTTCAATATGTTACCACAGCTCCTGTAGCGTGGGGTCGAGCAACAACGCCTCTTTCAACATGTTGATCAACGAACATCATCTTAATGCTAGTTCAAACCTCTCTGTAGAGAAGCCCCTTCTCTTTCATTTTGACGCCGTGTGCACAAAGTAAAACAAGCGCTAGCAGCGTTCGGATACTGTAAAGCATGGAGCAATTTTCTATTTATTGTGCAGCTAGCTTGCAGTCAGGGGGAAGGTGGGAAGCTTCCGTACTCGATACACGTCTAGTAGTAAGTAGAGACATCCAACAATGGCGGGTACGTGTTTCCAAGTTTCGAGACCATTGACGATGACAGTGTTCGACAATTTCTAATATCAATTGCTTCTGCGGACGCCAGTGTATTCATGGTGCTACAATAGCCCCCTCTGTGACATACTCCTAGCAGCAACCATGGTGCCATGTATCATGTCTTATTACAATATGTCTATGCAGGCAGGATAGATCGGGCATGTCACTCAACGAGGTGGCGAATACTAGCTTACTGTTGGCACCGTAGGACACTCACAACTTGCTGTACTTCTTTCCTAGTTGTCTTTCTATGATGATCAATATTGGGAGTATCATTAGATAGCTACTGTAGCCTAAGACCCTCTAGTACTATGGCAAGCATGTCAGCCAATTGCTGGAGTCGAAATTTTCTGTCTTCTAGTGACTCGATGTAGCGTACGTAGGGGTTGTTGTAGGGAGATGCCCATGTCCAGTCTCATGTTGACATGCATAGATTGACCCTGCAATCACACCTTGGGATGTCTAGCCTCGAACAACAATGTAGCCCCAACCACCTCCCATTTCACAGTCTTGAAGACTTCTTCCAATGGCCCAACCAGACCCTGTACATCATCGGGATGGTTGTCGAATATTCCAACACGATTGTGCCACCACATGATCGCTTTGCCGGGAAGATTGTGTTGTGCACCGTTTCCCAGAACAGTTGCTCCAATGATGACGCCATTAGTATTCAGGTGGCGGCGGAGCCGCGCCACGGCTTCGGCCTTTCGTCTCGGTGGACCGGGTAAGCAGTGAAGTAGCAGGAAACATGAGATGACTTCAAATTTTGCTTCGTTCAACCGCTTGGGAGTAATGGCCGAGTTGCTCTCCATGTCCGAGTCTAGGAAGTCGGCATGAACAGTGCGAACCAGGGTAGAGGGGTGGGATTTGGTGACGCGTGCTGCAGCCGTCTCCAGGCAGTTCTCATTCAAATCTATCAAGGTAACCTCCGCTCCAGCTGGAATTGAAGCGTGTTCGAGGAAGTAGCCAGTGCCCACGCCAATGTCCAGGAGTCGGACAGGCTCGCTGCCCATGTTCGACGCCTTCACTTGCTTCCCAGTAGATGTGACCGTCTCATCGTAAAACTTCAGGAGTTTGGCGCTCGAACATCGCCATACATAGGAGCAGTAAAGCCCAAGGATCAAGTTGTCGTAAATTACGCGGAGGAATACTGGAGTGTAGGCGGCGCCGCCTGCAGCAGTGTCTTGGCCAGTCATTTGGAGAAGAGACAAGAGTGGATTCGAGGAGGGTTACTTTTGTCCTCACATGAACAGTTGGGTCAGGACAGTAATGACGGCAACCATTGTTGGGACGACTTTCTACCTTAAATTCAAAAAACTGGGATCTGGAACGTGGGCGGTAGCCGCATACAGCCACCGGCCACACCTCGGCTGTATTCCTCCACGTCCTGGTTCTTTTTCGTGGGTGGATTGATTTCTGGTCTTATCAAGAACAGCCAAGTACGTAACTTGCCGCACGTGTGCAGCATATTGGACTCGTGCAAGTGGATTGGGTAAAGATTATCCAATACTAGGCCGCACATGGGGACTAGCACATGGGCAAGCTACTTTAACTTACCCAGTATGTGCGTGGACGCAGCCGACTAAACATCACAGCTTGCCCAGCTTGGCCTCAGAAGCTCACCTGAGGTCGAACCGATATAGCTGCACACATGGAAATGAAGCAGTTGGTTTCGTTATCAGTAAACCGATTTCCTTCAGTTTTGCGTGAGAGAGTTCTACAAGAAGATGGTTAGCTCCGCGGCGATTTCAGGTGGGGTTTGGAGAGGTGGCGCAGTCCTAGAGATATCGCATACCCCGCCTCCAACACAGTACCCATCGCCTTATCTTTCTTCGTACCATGTCGTCGGGGCAGGATCAAACTCCTCCTAGACCTAGATATAGAGCTTTGTTGGTGCTGCGAACTCGCTTTCAATGCTCTGTCTCTCTTTATTCGATGGCCGCCAAGCTGAAAACCCCTCCATGACCACACAGTTGCGACTGGCAGGGGTTGTTTTTGTCACCACATACCCATGTCATGGAGCTACTGTGCCACCCAGGTGTCCATTTGCTGTGCCGTTCATGTGCAGATGCAATCCCTTGCAGAGCTGCCACGCTGTTGAAATGTTTCCTGTCACTAGCTCCCCAGATACAAATTTCATGTCTCATCTGCTGCAATTGCGCAATTTTGGAGGCTCTTAGGCGAGTTGTAAACATGACAAGTCTACTGCATTTCACAGGCAAAGTCATTCAGCAACTAAACGACTTCAAAGCCACCATTGATGGCCTTTGCAGGACGCTCAAATGACGCAGTCTAGTGCTTCCCAACTCGGCGATCTGTCTGCGTAGATCCGACAGCGCATAAAGAGCTGGCAAACATCTGAAGAGAGAACCAAGTGAGTGATTGTTGTGGTCAGTCCTCCAAGATTTTCAGCAGTATAGGGAATTATCGGAAGCCCCAACAAAGATGCGCGCTGTTTCTGTTTCGAATTGGGCGTGGAATACCAAAGCGCTAGCTCACAGTGTGCAGTTGAGTGGGAAGGCTGTGTTGTGTAAGTAAATTCTTGCAGCCCTACCTACCAAGACTATTCAAGTTCTCATTTTTTGTGAGTTGAAAGCTACTACACTTCCTGTCGATCTAGTTATTAGTGTTTCAAACTAAGAATTTTGCAGTTTTCTACTAGTATACTTCAAGAACTTACAGGTTGGAGCTACATCCTCTTAGCATGGTTGAAGGCAGCTGCATGTTCCTGGCACTTGTTTTATTACAGCCTTTGTAGAAGAAGTTTAGCATTAATCACTTTGTGGTGCCAAAACCTCCTTGAAATTGTTTGCGTCATGCTCACCAAGTCGATCATTTATACAAGACCTACAACCTCCTTGGGCCAGCGTGTCCAGGGCTCCCAATATGAGCCCAAGCAGCCGTCAATGGCCTTCACAATGCTCCTCCCACAGCCCTCGCCCCACCAATACCCGTCGACCATTTGCAAAAAGGCCCCGAAATGAGCGAATAATACCAAGGCCGCTGGCTGGCGCTGGAGTTGCAGGTCAAAAAACTTCTCGGGCGTAATGGACAGCCAGATGAAAGGCCCTGACCATGTCCCATGGTAGCCCCATTCTTCGTTGGTCTTCTGACCCGAGTTCTTCAGCTGGACCATCCAGACCCAAAACTGGCGCAACAGAAGCAGACTTGTCTCATATATTTGAGCATGTGGGTCATCTTTCCAGATCTGACTGATGGCTATCAATTTCTCGTCATCGGCTGTTGGGTTTTCGTCTGGGTTGATGGCTTCCCAGTTCCCGAGGCCCAATACCGAGCCGAGTGGTCCCACACTAACGTGATGATGCACATGAGGCAAAACGGCGCCAACGCCTCGAAGCAGCGGTATCCATTCCGCGCCGAGGACACGCGACACTCTGGAACACTCGGCGGTCTGCTGTTCAACGTCATCATAAAGCTGGCTCAAGGTAACGAAGGTGTAAAAGAACAATAGAGTAGCGGTGGCAAAGACGGCATCGCTATTCTTGGCATCGATATGGTTTGTTGCCTCGTGAAAGCCTTCGAGGGCCTTGGTGTGATGGCAGGCTGCATCGATTATTGATGCACGTCTCTGCGAAGGGTTCAGGTAGGCAACATGGAGAGCGGCGAGACTGAGAAGACTGTGCATGACGTAGGGGTGCTGAAAAGCAATGCGCGGGAATTGGATGCGCCACACTTCAGCATGATCCGGAGAGTCTATTATGGCGAGACTGGTAACGAGGTTCCAGTGATGCAGGAGCTCCATGTCTTTCAAGTGGAAAAGGTGCTGAGGGCGGTTCAGGTCAATGTAAAGGGATCTGTGAGCATGACCCGCTGCATGGGCCGATGGATTGGCAGAAGCTTCTGACTGGGTCGACGAGTACCTGGACAGAGCAGGCTGGGATGCGACGCCAGCGACGAATTCGTATTGACATGTTACATTGTGCCGAGTGCAGTGCGTACAGCTCGGCTTTCCTTCACTGCACTGAGACAAGCCGGTTAGATAGGTTGCGCAGTGTGCACGTGAGGAGAGAGGCGCCAACTTGCCTTTATCCGTCGTCGCTTGCATTCCTTGCATCCTGCACGCGATTTGCGGTGCGCCCGTCGCGTTTGGGCCATGGCAAGCAAAGGGGAGGGATGATAGATGATAGATGGATGGAATACGCGGATGGGGCGTGGGTAAACGAGATACGCGGTTGGTGGGGCGCGACGCTCTCTTTTGCATCGGCGATTGGGTCGCCAAGCCGCTAGAGATTCTTCGCGCACGGACATTGGTGCCAGACTGGCAAGGGTGTTTAAGCCTTGCCTAATTCGTGGTTCAATACAGCAGTAGTCATCCGTTGATCTGCTGTGATTGGACAAGAAGATTACTTCGCTTTCGCTATCGTCGCTGATTGGATGTACTGTTGCACGGAACCGAAATATACGCCCATATAACGGTACGTGCTCCATGCTCCACACTGACTACGAGTCGAGTTCATCCTTCAGCCACAAACGCCTTCTGGATGCCCTAATGGCGCAACACACGCCGTATCTCGTAAAGCGTACTGATAGTTCGAGAGCTACTTTGCTCGCATGTCCCACATACGCAATCGCCCACAGCCTCCCTTGGCGTGGCCGTCAAGGTCCCGTCTACTTCGCCGTACTCATAAACGGCCTGTCCAGTGCAAAAAGAAAAGAGTTATATAATTACACGAACCAGTAGAGAGTGTCTTCCTCACAGCACACTCGACATCGTATCTTGGTTCCTCATCTCTTCACTTCATCCAGTCGATTGCTGTCTCCTCAATTTCCGTATTCTCAATCCGCAACTCTCCCTCATTTCTGTAGCTGCCCAACTAGCCTACATGGCGAGCCAACACGGGATATATCTCTATGAGCCCAGTCTGCCTGGCGCAGCCATTGCTGCAGCCGTGTTCGGCGTGAGCGCTATATACCATCTCTTGGTCATGATCCGGACCAGGGCATGGTACTATGTCCCCTTTACCGTCGGCGCATTCAGTAAGAACTTGCAAGCGCCTCACATGAACCTTTTACTGATTCCTCCAAGTGATGACAGCTGGCTACGTCTCCCGCTTTCTTTCGGCAAAATCGCCCACCGACCTAGGTCCATACATCCTGCAGTCGCTCTTCATCATTCTCCCTCCCTCCCTCTATGCAGCGACAATATACATGATCTACGGCCGCCTCGTTCTCTTCACCAACGCCCCGGAAGCATCCATCATCCGTCCCACGCGTGTCACAAAGGTATTCGTCACTGGAGATGTGCTCGCCTTCCTCATGCAAGCTGGAGGCGGCGGCATGATGGCTGAACCTGGTTTGAGCAAGCTGGGTCAAACCATCATGCTGATCGGTCTTTTTGTCCAACTCCTGTTCTTCGGGTTTTTCCTCGTCATCTCACTCATCTTCTGGAAGCGCGTGCGGAGCCACTCCAAAACCTTTGCTGTTCCACAGCACGGGAAATACTCGTGCGCTGCATTGCTCAAATTATTATTGCTCGCGGCAGTCATTATTATCCTTCGCTGTGTCTTTCGAATCCTGGAATTTGGCCAGGGACACGATGGCTACCTGGCTAGTCATGAAGTGTACATGTATGCCTTTGACACAGCACCAATGTTCCTTGTGCAGGCTTTGCTCCATTTTGTGCATGCCGCCAAGGTCTTTGGTCCGGATAAAATGGCTAAGTTAGGTGATAGTGAGAGTATCCTCCATTTGAACGAGAGGCACCGTTGATAAATACATGTACAAGATAGCCTACCTGTAGAATAACGCATTAGTATTTTTCTGATAGATTGATCGGAATGTCCAAAGAAGTAGTCGAACTGGAGTTATACAAAGACCAATATTACACTTACTTGAGTATTCGAGACTGGACTAGCCACAATTATTCTTTGAACCCTGCAAGGACTATGTTAGGAAATACCGATGTTAGTTTATGGGATCTAGTCTTAAATTATCTTATTACGATACAATGGTAGTAAGTGCGATGTAAAGCTTTCTCTATTACGACTACGTATGCTGAAAGCTATCTTCAGGAAGTTAGGATACTAAGTGACATGCATGAGCTACAAGAAATGATTCGTTGATGGTGGTGAAGAAGACGGTGCATGGACTCCGTTATGAGGCGTATCTCAACTGACCCCTTGCTAAAAAGATGATCTAGGTACTACCTAATTCAGTAAAGTCAATTTTGGAGAGTGTGGCCAGGTGGTATTAGAATAGATATTATAAAGATATGGAAGGTTGATGATATGCACAACTCGCTTCCCAGGTGAATTAAAGCAAGATAAATATACACCTCCACTTTACATAGTGTAAGTTAAAACAAAAGGCTCTCCCCCAGTAAGTCGGAACGTTCCGTTTCCGCTGACGTCTTGGCCATTGACGTAAAAAGATGCCCGCATCGACCCGTTCCCGTCTGACAAGGGCACAACCACGGTACCGGAAGTTCCGATCGGACTCTGAACCTCTAGCCTGTGTATTGCGTCACTAGTGGCATTCCAAGCCACGGAGATTTCACCCCCTGGAACAGGCAGCCTGCCCCTGGCCCATGCCAATCCAAGTGTCATCGGAGCAACCCGCCATTCCTTATAGCCCGGCTTTACGGCACTCACTCCCAACACGTGCTCACTAAGCTCTCCGGTCGGCCCTGCAGCCCAGCCGTGGCACAGACTTGTTGTTCTGCCGAGTGCGGGCAAACCCGTTGCGTTTAGCGTTTCCCAGAAGCACCCGGTGTAATATGCGCCTTTGGGGTCGGCCATCGGCGCCCAAAGAGTTTTCAGGAGATTCATAGCAGACTCGCTATCTTTGCTCTGGAAGGCTGCGCGGAGGTGATAGGCGGATGCATACGGACTAATGTACTTTGCGAAACCAGATGCAGTGACCGCTTCCGAGAATGCAAAGGGACCGACAGCGGAGGAAAGTCGTTGGAGACTCTTCAAAATCGTTGACGAAGTATGGTTGCCTTTTTTGACTCCAGCGAGAATGGCCAAAGCGTTCGAGTCTTGTCCAAACCCGTTTTTGATTGCGTCGGAGACGTAATATGCCTGGAGATCGCTTGACCAAAGGTTCCGGTCGATGGCTGTTCGGAGGGCTTCTAGTCGCGAGAGATATGGCTCTGTGTGAATTCCAGCGTCGGAAAGAAGAGGAATGCATTCCTGGAGAGCGTATGCGTAGACCATACTGAACTTTGAGACGACACCACTCTGTGGAGCATCATAATAGTCCCAATCACCGCCAAAGGCAGCGTTGCCAATATTCAGTAATCCACTTTCAGGCAGAACTTGGGAGTCTGCCCAGTCCAGCATACGTATCGCTCTTGGTGCCCACTCCTTTGGTATCTCGGCATCGCCAGTACGCTTGTGAAAGCTTGCGGCAGCCGTAAGAAGATTGAACGAATAGCCAATCAGACCTGTCTGACTGGCGTTGATGGTTGTGGACAGCGGCTTTTGTTGAACCTTTGCAGTGGGTGCAAAGAATCCCGGAGTCAACTGGTAGGAGCCGATCAGACCGAGAGTGCCTTTAATGTAGCTGGCACCGTTTGTACTCGCTAGGGAAGACACTAGCGCAATATCGAGATCGCCTGCGTACGCAATGCGATCGCGTTTCGAGCCATCAACCGTAGTGTCCCGTGGGTTTGTGCCGATGAGGAAATCGGAAAAGAAAGTATCATCAGTCAATGAGGCTGAATAAATGGGTTCTCCCAGTAAAGTTGTCGCAGACAGGTTGCGAAAGACAGCGGAATGGCCGAGCGCTGCACCCAATCCGAAGGATCCAAAGAAGGAAGAAATCTGCGAAAAGTGGAAGATGGGGGCTTTTCCAATATGAACAGCAATCTCAGTCATGTTGACAGTTGCTTCGACTTGGTTCCAGGCATCAGTGGTTATATTCCGCGGCAGCGTTGCGAATGCAATCCGAGGAGAGTCTTCGGTAGATCCAAAGTGTGCTGAAATCGACCCATTTGCAATATTGCAGAAGATGTAGATTCCCGAATTGAGTGTGTCAGCCAGGACAGAGAATGAAAATCCTCCTTTGATTGGTTTGACTTCGAATGCAAGCTGGTATCGCATCAAAGAAGCCGCTGTGCCACCCGCCGAAAGCACTTGAGGTGCTTGGCTTTCAGCCAAGGCTCCTTCCGTGCAGACCTGCCAGAACGGAGGTATGGAATTCGCAGGTAGGTCGTTCATTTGAATAGTCCTGGCTCCCACTTTCCAGATCCTGTTGAGAACCTCATCCGATGACTCAAAGTACCCCGGTAACTGATCAAGGGGTATGATTGGAATGGTTGGTTTCACTCCGATATTCTCCAGGACCAGTTCGCCAACTGTTGAGAGATTGAGTTTTTGGTATCTGAAGCCTCCCTGAATGAGTCTGTTCGTGTGTACTAGAGGTCCGCTGATGTTGTATCGATTGACTCTGTAGGTGTCCATTGCTGCGGCCAATGCAAGAGGTCCATCGCTCTGTTCATGAGATTAGTATAGGCACTAGATATCTCGATTAAAGTGATTACCACGTAGAAGCTGTCCAGAACTTCTCTAGACTCGCTATATGTGATCTCTAGACCAGAGGTGTCTCCAGTCGCAGAAAGAACTTGGAAAGTTGGCAAGCCCTCAACATTGGCCCCATAATCAAGTACTATGACGCCTGGAGTGGACCTTGACCCTTTGATGGTTATGGTTCTGTTGGTCGCATATATTGGCACCATGCTGCGATTTGCTGGATAGGGTATGCTAGATTGTTGGGCAGGCTGCTGTGATGGGAGGATTGATGCTGATGCGGCCTTTATCCTTGCTACAAGAGCCAGCTGTGCCAGCTGAGAGAGTCTCATGATGTGTTTTCGTATCTGGCAAGGACTGACTGATTGGAATGAAGGAAAATAATGAAGAGGAGTTAAGGGAGGACCTTCTTACTCGGAGAAGCATGGCTGTGGAAAGAATATATACTTTTTCACTACTTACCTAAGGCCAGGGCTAATTAGGCTCTTCACGACGATCATGTTACCCAGCAATTTGATGAGCCTCGACGTTGACGCAGCGAATTTGCGTGGTGGAGCTAAGCATCCAGGCACATGGCAACGCTACAGGTTCTTCGTTATACGCTATGTTAGCATCGGGTGTTATACAAAGGGTACCCGGCATAACGGCACCATGACGTTTCGCCTGCGCCACAAGTATGGCTTGAAAGCACGGTGCAAGCCTCGCTCTTAGCGATTCTTCGTCAAGAGGTTTTGACAAAAATGACTTGGCACATGTACACTGCTTTTCACTCTTGATGTCGTCGCCAATCATGGTGCTGGAGCCAGTACGGTGGTTACAATAGCACTTCGGAATAAAATATGCTTGGAGCAAGCGCGGAAGCGGAGGCGCCTTTCACTCCTAGAGGCGCTGCAGGGATACTTACTGCCACAGAGCTAAGCCACACTCGGCTATCCAAGCCACCCCAGTAATGTGGCAGCCCCATTTGTACGTATCTCGTAATTCGTACCGCGTACTTCGTATCTAATATCCAGTGCTTGTACCGTGCACCCCCATGTTACATAGGGATCGGGTTTAAAGGCATAGGAGTGGCCGCCTAAAGGGTAGAGTTACCTCGGCGTAGGTAGAGGTAGAGTACATATCTTGTGGAAGTTGATGTCGTAGCACAAAGGCAGATAGAGAATCGGCTTCCACATACTGTGTAAAGCAAACGAAACGTTGTGTGGACATTAAGATGCAACAAGATGGATATATGAGCGCATATCCAGGACACGTTGCATATTTACTGGGGTGGAAAAAAGTGGTGCATTAAAAGGAGCACGCGCGAAAACTCGGGATATCATAAAGAGAAGCTGCAGAGACGAATGCGCAAAGACAGAAGGCTGACCTCGGAAAGGGACAAAGCAGTTGCAGTTCCAAGTACCACTGGTGCAATCAATTTACATCACAATGAGGATCATGGCCCCGCTTCAACGCCTGTTACTGCGTACAGATCGCCAACTCGATAAACTATGGCATTTTCTACTCAGAATCAAACTAGTCAGCCCAATCACGCTTTCTCTTTTTCCTTTCCGTATGTATCTACCGTTGGCGCCTCTGGTATCTCTATTCCCTTGATTTCCCACGCCATACCGGGATAAGAATCACTGTGCACCAGAATGTCCAGTCTTTTGCCCTGCGCTTCGGGTGGAAGCGAAACTTTGGTTGATGCTTGCAGATGCGAACGCCCCCCTCCAGATGCCTGATTACCGCGTCCACGTCGATTGCCTCCATTGTCTCTGCTTGGATCTGGCCAGTTGACGCGTTTCAAGGCAACAATCTCGTCGGTGCTTGAATACGAGACGAGGGCAAAGAAACCCTCCGTCTGCGGCTTGGGGTAACGCGGTGCGAATATTCGTACACCGCCTTGTTGTACCCGCGCAGGGTTCTGGCGAGTAATCTTGAAGTCGAGATGGATAGCATTTACATTACCAAGATCGAGCTTCAATACAGGAAGTCGGGAGACGGATTCTGTAAGGCGTTTGAGACTATTGTGTGAAACACCGGCCACCTTGCCGGCGCGCTCTAGTTCGGTTGCAGCGGTAGAGATAACCTCGATCAGTGTCCTGGGTCTGGCTTCGGGTCGATCTAAACGCGTTTTCTCCCTGTCCACATCCACTCCTGGGAAGATAGACAATGGGCCATCACTAGGCCAGCGAGCTGACTTGATGGCCTGGAGAATTGCGATCATTGTTTGGCATGAAGAGAGATAACCGAGTTCAGTGAGCACGTCAATCGTTGCTTGCACGATACGGATACTCTGGTCTAGTACGCTGTTCTGGTCACCTATATAATCCGAAATGGGTAGGTCAATGCGGGAGAAGTGAGCTTGCAAAAGCAAGAAGGCTTTGACATGCGGATCCCACATTGGCAAACCAAAGTCATCGGCTGGAATGGGCAAGGCTTTTGAGAGCTCCATATTGATAAGATCTTCGTTGTGCCGAACAGGAAGCTCGTCGTATTCGGTAGCGTGTGAGATCCAGGCAAGAGCTTCCGAGAACGTGGCGTTGCGCTTTACGTTTTGTACAAGGTAGCGTATTGTCCTATGGCTGAGGTAGTAGTAACTCATGATCTTTCCGAGCGGTGTAGCATCGACTTCGCCAGTCGCCTCGACAACTGCACATGACGACTCATTCAGTTCTCTCAATGATGACTCCACCAGCTCAACCATATAGTCGTTTGCCATGGACTGTGCAGCTATCGTGTTGTGCTCTTCAGCAGAGATTTCAAGGCCGTAGAAGGATGGGTTCTTGTGGAGGCGGCGGAAGAAGAAAGTCCAGGTCAGGTAATCCAAGGCGTCTTGCTTTGTGGTGATGGTGCCAGCCGAGATTTCGGCACCCAAATGGTTGTCCGGGACTTTGTGCAGTGATGATTCGACAGGGAATCCAGTGTGCAGAAAGTGTTTGTAAAACTCCTTCTTTGCATCCTGTGTAAAAATACGCGCTATGCCGGAGTCGTCGAATTGGGGGCGCCCTGCACGTCCCAGCATCTGCAGGACATCAGTCAAATCCATGTCTTTGTATCCTTCTGTCTTTGCGTCAAAAAACTGTGTTCCTTTGACAACAACAAGATGAGCCGGCAGATTTACACCCCAAGCAAGGGTACTAGTAGCGATAAGGATCTGGATCTTGTTATTCGCAAAAAGCTCTTCAGACAGTGAACGGTCCGATTCGACGAGACCAGCGTGATGCAAGCCAATGCCGAAACTGAGCGCCTCCCGCAACGAGTCATCGTGAACACGATCCAGGTTCAAGGCCAGGTCCTCTTCAGACATGTGCAAGAAGCGACGAGGGTTGTCCTCCATTCCACAGAAGTTGATGAGGTCGCGCGCAGTCAGACGCGTTTGTCTTCGCGAGGCTACGAATACAATGACGGGCTTTTCTGGCGAATGAGCTTTAATAGCGAGAAAGGTAGGTCGATTCATGGACTGCATAAGGGGGCAAAAGCCTCGCTGCTCAGGGAAGCCATCAATGAAGATTTCCAACGGTACTGGACGGACAGAGTGTCGGAAATTGAACAAGCCCTCTTTGACGCCCAGCCAGTTACCGAGATCGGATGCATTCGCGCATGCTGTCGACATACCAAGAAGGCGAATGGAACCGTCCTTCTTTTGCGAGGCAATGTAGTTCATGCGCGACACAATGATCTCCAGAATCGGACCACGGTCACCACCCAACAAGTGGATTTCATCAATGATGACTAGGCTAACCTGACGGACGTACCCACGAGTTTGCCAGCTGCGACTTATACCGTCCCACTTTTCTGGCGTCGTAATGATGATATCGGCGTCGCGGATGGTACGGGTGTCTGGTGTATTATCACCCGTCAACTCAACAAGCTTCAGGCCCATGGGCCCCGCTAGACGCTTGCCCCAATCTTGCACTCGCTCGCGAACAAGTGCTTTCATGGGAGCGATGTAAACGACCTTGGAGCCTGGCTTTTCACGGAATGCCCACCACATTGCTAGCTCAGCGGCGACAGTCTTTCCACTACCTGTAGGCGACCCAAGCAGGACATTGGCGGCCGTGTGGTAGAGACAGTGGAAAATCTGTGATTGCATCGGATTGAAATACTGAAAGCGCTGTCCATAAACCTCCTCCAAAAGAGGATTCTTCAATGCAGAAATCGGCAAAGGCTGCAGGTTCAGGAGGTCAGTGTAGACGCTTTCGGTGTCAGGCCGGATGAGATGCTGGAATGATATGGGGTGCACAGTCTCTGCTCCCAGCCAACGGTCAGACACAGCGCGAACGTAAACTTGCGTTGGAAGGGGGTCGGAAAGCGGAATCGTAAAGTTGAGCTCGTGATCGTCATAGAGCTTTTTGCGAGACAGAATGAAGAACTCGTGGTGGAAAATTTCAGACGTCTCGGAGTTTTCAACCCAGATCCAGAATGATTCGGAAGTGCCATGGTGGCGGTCGTTCCACACAAAATCAGGAGTAAGGAACAATCGTATCCGGAGAACGTCTCGGTTCAGCGGAGCGATCTCAGACTCTATGCTTAACGTGGGAAAGTTGCTCATCAGCTTCGAGATGACATTCCCCATTTTCTTGTTGTGAACCATATCTCCAATCTCAGCCGCGTCCATGTCCCTCAGTGTTTGTATAGAAGGAAATCGATGGTCGAGGGCTCTCAAGACGGGCTGAGGGAGTTCGAACTGGTGTAGGGGATGTTGGAAAGCCCAACATCGGTGTTCTATCGATTGACATAGACTGAGAAGCACTAGGCATTGATAGCCCCAGCGCCGATTAAGCGCTATCATGAACAATGCTCGTGCGATACGGGCAGCATTCTGGGTAATGTAATTCGTATCGGAGACCAGTGTGAAGTCTTCCAGACGTGCCCTTGAAATATGCGCCTGGAGGAGGTAGTTTGTTTTACCGTGCGACGTAGCGTAGCCGTCCTTCACTTCTGTGATGACATACTCATTCTCTTTGAGCGATGACAGTTCCTTCTCTTCACTCTCGCGTGACTGCACCTGATCGAACTCGCCGCTCATACTGACCATAGCTAAAGCGTCTGCATCTGAACTATGAGGTCGCATCATGGTGTTGAATATTTCAATACTTGATTGCTGCACGTAGTATTGACTGGCAATGCGACCAACATCTTTAGCTCTCAGATCCTCGGTCGTCTCGTTGAAAACGATCATTTGGCTACGTTGCAGAGTTCGTGCAGCGTCGATGATGAGCTTGCGCCGCCTCCCGACTAGCTGTGGATCGTCGCGTATTTCTGCCCATTCGATTCCGTACATCAGCGGACTCTTTTGCATCCGTACAAACAGGTACGAGTATCCTAGCCACGTCACAGCTTCAGAGACCGTAGTGACGGTGCCTAAGGAGATTTCGGCGTTGAGATTGTCAATAAGTTTGGCAGAGAAGCGTGACTCGATAGGCTGCTGTTCGGTTACGGCACGCATGTAATGATCGAGCCTATCGTGTGTGGTACAGATGAAACCGATACCGCTGTCTTGAAATTGGGGTCGACCGGCACGACCGAAAATCTGGAGAACATCAAGAATACCAAGGTCCGTAAACTTACCCTCTTGGGCATTGTAGACTTGGGTTCCTTTGATAAGGACTGCTGCTGCGGGTAAATTGACACCCCAGGCAAGCGTGGCTGTACAGCAGAGAATCTTGAGAACGCCTTCGGCAAATAGACGTTCGATCAAATTCCTGTCCGAACGAGGCATACTGGCATGGTGAGTGCCCATGCCTTTTCCTAGCAGCTCCCTCAACTCTCTGCCTTTTGATTGCTTCATGTCGCGCACAGCATTCTCGTATCGGGGGTGGTCTTGTGGAACAAATAGATCAGTGCATTGCTCCTCCATGGCCATATCATACAGTCGTCTGGCTGTCTTGACTGTGTCTTTTCGCGAATGTACAAAGACCATGATCTGATGGCCTAGCTTAAGCATCTCAACAACCTTGTCAAAAGCCACTTTTTCCAGATTCTCGCGAGACTTGGCGGTACCAGGCTTTCCTTTTGCGCCGATGAAATGCTGCTCCAATGGGACCGGACGAAACGAGGCGTCAAAGTAGAACAGTCCAGCCATCTTGTTGACTCGAAGGAATTCGGCCACATCAACATAGTTGGGGAGTGTGGCTGAAAGGCCGACAATACGAATGAGGGACTGTGTACTTTCGACTTGTCGCTGCGTACGCGCGACCAAGCTTTCAAGGACAGCACCGCGCTCGTCGTGCAACATGTGGACTTCATCTATGATGAGCAGTCGGACTTTTTGCACCAGCTCAGTATCTCCAGTGCTCTTCCTCGTCACAACATCCCACTTTTCTGGGGTGGTTACGATGATTTGAGTATCCAGAATCTCGGCCTTGGTAAGATGCATATCACCCGTCAGCTCCCGAGCTTTGATTCCTAGCCATGCTAAGCGCTTCCCCAGCTTTTCAGTCACTTCGGCAGCAAGCGCTTTCATGGGCGCAACGTAAATGATCTTGAAATCTTCTGCCATGACTGTAAAATCCGTAGCTCCCGGCTCGTCGATGGGGTTGGGAACAACATTCTTAGCTACAGTGTTGAGAATGGTGAGCATGGCTGCATCGGTTTTACCAGCACCAGTAGGAGCACAGATGAGCATGTTCTCGCTGGTCTTGTATGCAACGGGATACACGAGACTCTGCATGCGGTTAAGGGTCTTGTAGCCCTTGAAGGTGCGCTGACAAAGGCCATCTAGATCTTTAATCTCGAGGAGTCTCCGCCCTGCGCCAATGGTGCCAACGGGTACGGCTGGGATTTCATATTCCTCGTAAAGGTTGTTGTCATGATGCACCGTGTCTGGCGGAAGGGCATACTTCTTGCCATAGGCCGAAAGCTTGTTCCCAGCGTCGTGGGCCTTGTAGACATGAGGATACTGGGGCCCCGTGCGATCCATTGCAGGGGCCAGTGAAGCATTCTTGTGCTCCCAATCTGCTCTGCGTAGAGCCTCTTCGCGTTCAGCGCGCGTCTGCAAGCGACCCATGACACCATTGCCTTGAGCAGCAGCAGGTTCTTGCAGGGATCGCAAAATCTCCTTTCGGTGCGAGATCAGCTCTACCACCAGGTCAAGTTCCCCATAGCCGACAATGTCTGCGAGCATCATTTGTAGTTCTTCGTCTAGTCTTAGTCAGCAGACTGCGGGTGAGGCCTTCAGTCACCAGGACTGACCATTGCTATCGCTGGAAAGAATGGCCGATATCTGCTCTTTCAGTGCTCCAGCGTCTAAGCCAGAGCTATTGCGAGCTACCTGTGAGCACTTTGCTGCCAGCCATTGCGCATCACGGGCGTTGGTCGAAGCAGGCTCTTGTGCAAAACCATCGAGATGGTCGCTGCTGTAGGCCTCGTCGTAGTCATCGCTGATGACGTCCCAGATATCTTCTCCGCTGGCAGTTCCTGAGAAATCGTCGTCGTCGTCGAAGTCGATATCGTGGCCATAGGCGGGTGCCTCTTCAGCGGCAGCAGGCAGATTCAGCTCTGCGATGGCCTTGCGCATAGCATGCAGCTGCTCGAGCCACTGCGCGTGGGCGTCCTGGACAGCAGACGACATTGTGCATCCAGGGCCCGTGGATGGGTTTGCTGACAGGATGGACGAGGGTGTTGCTGTGGCTGTGATGGGCGTCGCTGGCTTGGCAAAGTCGATGATGGGTCGCGGTCGCGGCCGGGCCAACGTACCCCCGCCCCCACGCGTTAGCGTGATGACATAAGCAGCGTCACCGTCGCATCGGCCATGGGGCGGACGAAGCGCCATCCCTCCACGCCCATCGCAAGTCCAAGTGCAAGCACCGCTCTCCGCTCTCCGCCTACACTCCCGCACGCACGCACGCACTAGACCAGATACTCTCTTGCCTACGCCGCTCTTGCCAAGCTTCCCCACGAGCTCATTGCCGCCGCAGAACGAGCCGCCATCATGAAACTCCTCTACATCGGCGTGCGTGCCCCTTCCTTCACCGCTGCCGCCACACGCCCGCGGGCCCGCTGACGGGATACAGATCTTCAAGAATGACACAAAACCCGCGCTCGAGCTGGCGAGCGAGGAAGACCTCAGCTCATGCAGCTTCTTCGCCAAGCCCACCATCAGACAAGGCGTACGTGAGCCCAGCTACCGCCATCGTATATACAGGCTCCAGAGGCAAGAGGGGAAGAACGCACGGATGCTTACAGCGCGGGCAGATAATCTTCGCATCGGGCGAAATCGCGCAAAGAACAGCCCCAAATAAGCAGATGGACGTTCTGGAGAAAGGTAGGCGAGGCGGCTGCTCCCAGGCTACCGTATTCTCACACGCCGAGCAGGATGCATGTTCCACGTCTATTCCCACGCCGACCCCGTATGCGGGTTCGTCGTCACCGACGAGGAATATCCTCGGCTCGCCGCACACCGTATCCTCCGAAAGGTCGTCGACGAGTTTGTCTCCAAGTACCCGCGCTCCGCCTACGACGGCTTCACAAAAGAGAGCCCCAAGATGTCGTTTCCGGAGCTCAAGGACTACATACAGAGATACCAAAACCCCGAGAATGCCGACAGCACTATGAAGATTCAGAAGGAGCTCGACGAGACCAAGATCGTGCTGCACAACACGATTCAGAGCGTCTTGGAGCGGGGGGAGAAGATTGACGACCTGGTCCAGAAGAGTGAGGGGCTCAGTGCGCAGAGCAAGATGTTCTACACCCAGGTGGGTTCTCGGAGAATGCGCATGGCTACGCTTACCATTACTGACATGATACATAGGCTAAAAAGCAGAACTCATGCTGCAACGTCATGTGAAGACTGCTTGGCCTTGATGACTTTCCTATCTTGTTGGGCGTTGATACCTGGATTTCATAGTTGAGACAAGTCATTTCTTATACCCTCTACACATCATGTTCCTTGGTCTTTTCGGTTTCTACACTCATCTAACACAAGATGCCCTACCGCCTGACACATTTAGCAAACTAGACAACCCTATTCTTTAGCATCCTCTCTCAGTCTGTGCGCCCAGAGACCTTGCTCGATACAGTTGCAACCGCCACGTCAATCTCCAAAGGCTCCCCCACATGACCTGGCTCTTCCTCTTCCTCCTCATTCATGTCCGATGCAACCGAGTCCTGGTCGAAGTAGTCTTTACTCTCGTCTTCCTCTACTCGTTGCGACATAGAAACTGGGTCCGAATACGACGTTGTATCCTCTTCGTCTATGTCACCCGTCTGCCGTGCGAAATCCTCCAGTCTTGTGCCGACAAGCGTTGGGACCTTGTCCCAGCTATCAAACTCGTTGCCATGGCCACTAGAGCGGTCCTCATTCTTCCACACAAGGAAAATGTCAGTCGTACAGAGCAACATGTTGGCCCATGGCTGCTTCCAATCCTCCTCCATGGACTGGAAAGAATCGTTCAACATATCGGTCAAGCGGTCCTTGGAGACGTCGTCGGTGAGTTTTTGAAAGGTAACATTAGGCAAAGAAGGATCGCGGTCACAGAGCAATAGCTGGCATTGTCGAATTGTGTATTCCCAATCGTTCTTGAAGGATGTCTCGGCCCAGCCCTCCTCGTCTGGGCAACGGTGTGGAGAGTTGGGATCGTAAAACGGATAGCGGCGAGCAAAGAGGCCGCTGGGTCGATGACGGGTATCCTCGGGTGTGTCGGACGAGTACGAGAGCCGCTTCTTCTTGCTCTTCGGCGGCTTATATGGAGGCGCCTTGCCCTCATCTGCTAGTTGTGCAGGAAACCGGATGCCCTTTGCATATGCCTCCATTGCGTTGGTAGCGCTCCATGGCCTCGTGGCTTCGATGTCCGCTCCTGGGTTTGAAGACTCCCAAATTGCTTCAAAGTGGGCAAAATCGTCTATGACATCTATCTCGTTGATCAAATCCACTTTGCGCTTATAGTACGCTCGCTTGGCTAACTGGGAGACGTCGGCGGTTATGCCAGGAGGCAAACTCCGCCATGGCCCGCCCACCTCAAGCCAGTGATGCCACAGTTCAGCCAGCAACTTGAGATGAGCTTGCAAGGTGCACATGGGACACCAAAGAATGGGATCTTGGTCAGTTTCATCGTCGTCTTCTTCGCCTTGCTTTTGATTTTGCTTTGCCTGTACCATGGGATGCCCCGGGTGCAGTGGATGTCCACAACGGGTTGCAAGCTCAAAGTTTCCAGTCGCCAGCTGTGGTGCCTGATCTTCTGGCTCCAGGTCGGGAGTTTGTATGCCCTGGTCTGCGCGCCAATCCAGGAAATCCGCGTACTCAAATGCGGAGGGCAGCGGGATATCATCATCGTCTAACGCGGCTTCGTTGTATATGCTGCAGCGCCATTGTTTGTATGCGTGCAGGTCCCAAGAGTCAAACAGCACGGCTGCTTTGGGCTGACTCATGACGTCGATGTGGACCAAGTTGAACTGAAGAGGCAATTAGGCTGTATCGAAGGGTGCGATCTTGTTGTTCCGAATATCTGTAGGTGGGGTTGATGGGTTACCATAGGGCTACGCTCAGCAAGTCGGCGTGAGGCAGCAGAGAACTGTGACTTCTGAGCACGGGTCACGCGACGCGTTGGCGCAGTCTACACGCAAGCATGCTGGGCATGAGTGAAAGCACGCGATCGTTTGTTTGGCATTGACTTTATAAAATTGGCCAGCGCTCTCACAAAGTTCGCCACTCGTCTGCAACGGCTGCTTTCACTCATACCCAGCCTAGTGTAAAGTCTTGGGAAGCATCTTCAACAAGCAGTGAATTGTCAACTCATTGCACTGAGATTGGGATTTAGGCGAATGAAAAGAGGTAGGCGTATCGGATACATAGTCTCGACAAAAGTGGCAAAAGTAGCAACTGACAGTTTGTATATTGCGAAAAACATCTAGTCAGACGTGATCGTATACAGAATTTCTAGATCTATATCCACTGTTGGTCCCCATTGTGCGATACAAAGGATCCAGCGAACCCTCCCTCGATACTAGCCCTCTCCCAAGTTCCTCTCATAACCCAAACCGCCTCATCCACAGGTGTCAAGCCCTTGAAGTGAGGCGCATACTGTGCGACCCTTTCCATGAATTTCTTCATACCCTCCATCTGCTCTGGCGTGACTAGATATCCAAATCAGCAACTTATTTCCGGTATAGGAAAAGAGTGTCGGATCATGCGGGTGGCTGCTCACCATGATCGAAGTGCCCTACATCCACAATACCAGGACTCATGCTGAAAATCAGCACGCCGTCTTCCTTGTACTGCGCGCTGAACTTGGCCACGATGACGTTCAAAGCCGCCTTAGACGCAGAGTACAGCGCACTGTTTTCGACGCCCATGTCGTTGATGAGGCTGAGATCGACGTGGCCACTGGAAATCGCAATCACCTTTTTCACACTGCCTTTTCTCACGAGCGGCATGAAGAGATTGAACAGGTGGAGATTGCCGGTTACGTTTGTCTGGAAGAGCTGGCTCAACGTGTCGTCGACTTTGGATGGCTTGTCGGCCCTGTTTCGACACGGAGCACGTTAGCTGCAGGCTGTTGTGCGAGGCGAGTGTAGACGTACAGTGCACCGATTGGGTCGTATGCATCCATATGAGATACGAAGGCGCCGTTTGCAATCAAGTAGTCAACGCCACGGTCACCAACAATAGTAGCCGTGTCGGCTGCAGCTTGCTTGAGGCTGGCGTATTCGGTGAGATCGCCGTGGAGGACGTGGATATTGGTGCGGCCGGGCATTTCAGCAGCGACCTTCTTTTCCGTTGCAGCCTTGTCGCGCACAATACCGATGACGAGGTTCTGCGCGTCTTCAGAGGCCTGTCTGGCGATTTCAAACTGTAGAGTTTTGTAGTTAGTGGTTGCATATCGAAACAGAAACAGACGAGGGGTTACACTCACGCCAATGCCTTTGGAGATGCCGGTTATGACGTACACAGACATTTTGAAGGGTTTGGGGGTGACGGAGTCGATTTGAGTGTAGATGCGAGTATGGTGTGAGAAGGAATTGTGAGTTGAGATGTTGTTGCGCAGAAAGGAGCTCTTCTTATACGCGCATACAGGGTGAGATTCATAGCAACTATACTGCGGCAATCCTGCGCGAAGCTACTCCGCGCACGAATTTACAACCGCATTTCGAGTGTGACAGATGTTCCCGGTCAGTCACTGGTGCTCGGGGTTGGATATTCAAGCAGCGTTTGATTTGAAAAGACGTCTTCGTTTGCCCCAGCTGAATGCAGTTGATTTAATAAGGGCTGGCCACATATAAGTCCTTCATGCACCTAAGTGACATGAGAGCTTCAAACAGCTTCTCATCGAAATACCACCTCTTCTCATAACTTGAGGTCAAACATCACCCCGCGGGCTGGGCATTTCTACAGCCTGGATAAGCGTGCGGGTTAGCGTGCGGACTAGCGTGCGGGTGAGTATCGCGGCGTCCAATGCGGTTTAGAACACGCAACGCAAAAGGGACAGCAAAGGGTTGCCTGAAAACATGCAATCTTACTCGCGTCTCTCTCGCTTACGAATCCGAAGATGACCTGCTCCTGTATCAACATGTATCCCTCCTCCATCTTCAACGTTTTGGGTTTGTCAGCGATTTCCAGCTCCAGCACTTCAGTCCAAGCCCGCCCTGGATACTTGCCCATTTCACCATCTTGGACTTCTGCTGCGGGGTAGCCCCGGCTATCTAATCACACAGCAATACAGTCACGGGAAACCTTACCTCAAAGTAATGCCAAAACACACAGAGTCAAATGCCTGTGGCGCATGTGCAAGGTCAAAGCGGAGGTGCGGTCGACAGATGCCGTCATGCGCACGATGTGCAGAACGAGGCTGGACATGCATATATCCACGAGGAACAAGTAGACTCACTTCTACCCAGGCCTTGATGCCGAGTGCAGAGAGGTATCTGTCGCCGATAATAGACAGCGGGCTACCAGACAAAGTCGCCGACAGCGCACCCACCAGCGACACAGGCCCGATATTCTCAGAAGACCTAGCGTTGGACCTAAATCTTTCACCATTGGCGAACAGCTGTTTTGCCATTGCCTCGCCTTCCTCAGGCATACCAGACTTGACAGCATTAAAGGCGGACTGGTTCACTGCCCCGGACTCATGGCACATTTCGCATGAATGGAACCGCGCCGTCATGGGAACAAATACAAATGCCGATATGAAGATTTACATTGCACGCGTGCAGTCATGGCTCCAACGCTGGATCAACACGGGCAGCAATCCTTTCATTCACAAGAAGCTGTACAGTGTGAATTTCCCAGCGAGCGTGCAAATAGCATATGCCACGCTGGCAAGCTATATCCACCGCACGCCGTCAAACACCGATACCGTGCTGAAGATTGTAGAAGACAGATCGACGGCTTTGCTGCGCGATAACGGCGCGGTTTTGCAGGAAGAGAAATGGGTCTGCAGACAAGAAGAAGAAGAAGACCACAGTGTCGATTTGTTCGCGCAGCTGGCACGACTACACGCGCTCATGACGTACCAGATGATCGGCCTCTTTGACGGCGACATTCGCGCCCGCTACTTTGCGGAAGGGCGTCTGGCGCTTCAGAATGCCTGGGCTATCAAACTCTTCCACGCTGCTGGGAGCGTCTTGCCCAACGCAGATGGCTGTGCTGTACAACTCGTAGGCAGTCTGCCCAGATGGTCTGACTACGCTCAGCAGCAATGGTACTCGTGGATTCTCGCAGAGAGCATCAGACGCACGTACATGGTGGCTGTTAGCATCATGCCCATCTACACGGCGCTGCAGCAGGGCTGGGCAAAATGCCCCGGTGGCATCAAGTTTACCAACCGCAGCGGCCTGTGGGGTGCGACGAGTGCCGTCGAGTGGGAGAAACAGTGTCGCGAAAAGGGCGCGGGGTTCTTGCATCGCTCAGAGTGTGATTGGTTTCTTGATAACGCGACGCCTGGTGATGTGGATGAGTTTGGGATTGCTGTCATGGACATGACTTTTCGAAGTGATTTGCTGCAGAGGTGGAGGGAGAAGGGCAGAGGTGTGTGGTCTGAGGGGCATGTTGGATTCGTCTAGGGTTGTGTGACTGCTAATTAAGGACCTTTTAATTGCCCTTTTGCAAATACATGTATAAGTATCAATGTTGACAAGAACTGCGTAAGGTGCGACAATCCTCTCCCACCTTTTGCGAGTCACGATAACATCGACATGATCCATATTGCTTGAGATCTGATTCATTCTTTTCATGCAGTTTACAGGGAGAAACATGGAAGCATATAGAAGAAGCTTGAAATTACTACGCATGCATGAGCGGAGACACCTATGAAGACGTCACTCATCAGCTCTCTACATCTCTAGTTAAATGCCTGGTATATCCCAAAATTCCACAAGAAAGAAACAATGTGAGCCACGAGATACTCAAAACTGGTCATGTGTAGGTCTCTCTAGACCTACCAATACTCTCGACGCGGAAGCCAAGGGCCTCTAGAGGCACAGGATCGACTACATTCCTCCCATCAAAGACGTACATTGGCCGTCGCATCACCTGTGAGACACGTGTCCACGATATCTCCTTTCGCGAAGCGCATTCAATCTCGCCATTTATCGAGGCTCCACGCACATGTCCGTTTGGTCGGGCGAGCTTGTTGCTGAACTCGTCCCATTCAGTTAAAATGACCACAGCGTCAGCATCGGTACACGCCTCGTAGGTAGATGTGCAGACGGCGAGACGGTTCTTGGTCTCGCGTGGGTTCGGGTTACTGCTCTCAATGTTGTACCGTATCTGAGACTCTTTTACTTGGGGATCGTAGATTTTGACGTTGGCGCCTTCGGCGAGAAGGTTGTTCACAACTGAGATGGCGGCTGATTCCCGGGTATCCCCTGTATCCTTCTTGTATGCAAAGCCCAAGATTGCAATCGTCTTATTGGAGAGCGAGTTGTACAAGCATCGCACGATGCGGCGGGTAAATCGGTCCTTCTGATACTCGTTTATGTCGACGACCGATCTCCAGTAAGCGGCAACTTCGAACAGATTCAGGGATTCAGCAATGTATGCCAGGGATAGGATGTCCTTGCGGAAGCATGAACCACCAAAACCGACAGATGCCTTGAGCATCTTGGGGCCGATGCGCTTGTCAAGTCCAACGGCATATGAGACTTCGTCAATGTCGGCACCCACCGCCTCACACATGGCACTCATTGCATTGACACTGCTAATGCGCTGCGCGAGCAATGCGTTTGCTGCAAGCTTGGCCAACTCTGAGCTGAATAAGTTGATGGTGATGATGCGATCCACATCAACCCAGGCAGAATAGATGTCGGCAAGTGCTCGCGCTGCAGCTAGTCCCTGAGGTGTGTTGAGCGAACCGATCAGGACGCGATCAGGGCTGGAAAGATTCGAGATGGCGGTGCCTTCTGCTAGAAACTCTGGATTCGACAATATCTCAAACTCAACCCCAGGCTTGCTGGTTGCCCTCAAAACATCCCGAAGCGTGTCCGCCGCTCGGCATGGAACCGTGCTCTTCTCCACGATGATTTTATTGTCGCGAGCAACGGCACCGATCTGGCGTACAGCCGCCTCCAGATAGCACAGTTCACTTGCATGGCCTGCACCCTGGCCCAGCATCTTAGTTGGGGTGTTGACACTCAGTAAGATGAGTTCGGCCTCGGCGATTCCACGGTCGACATCTGTGGAGAAGAACAGATTTGGGACTCTTTTGTTGGGGATGCCATTGCGCGCTGGCTTGACCACCTCCATGAGGCCAGGTTCGTAGATGGGTAGCTCATCAGACTGCCATGCAGCAATGCGGTTGGCATCGTAGTCCACGACAGTGACTTGGATATCAGGGTTTTTGCTGGCCATGACTGCCGATGTCGGTCCACCGACGTATCCCGCGCCAACGCAGCATATCTTTGTTATGCGCCTGGATGACTTTGGCTCTGCAGGCTGCTGGTATGGGGCCGCTGGTATAGGGGAATCATGGCGAGTATGAGTAGCCATTAGGAGTATATGCGCGAAAACGAGATGTAGCGACTGGGTACGTGATTTTCAGCAAGCCCGCTCGGTTGTTGTAGTGACGGCAAGAAAGAGAGAATAATCGATCATGAAAAGAAAACCATTCTGGGTAACAATGGTTGAAAGACGGCAAATGGGGCATGTACTCCCCACATGGAAATGTCGAGTAGGGCAAGAATGGCGTGGTCGCCTGAACGGGTATCGGCATCTTTGTCCATGGCCTTCTGGCTGTGGTGACTACTGGGATGGTAAGTGAGTCTATTTGTGGATGGTTGGGTATGAAGGAGTGGGCGACAGGACCGGAGTGCCCATGCCAAGAGTGTAATGGTAGCGGTACAAAAGCGATGCGTGTGCCACCACGGTTGAGATCCGTGGTGCCTGCCAAGCATTGCCCTAACTATTTTGGGCATAGCGTCTTTTCATCGAAGCTCCGCCTATCTCGGCAACGCTGGACGGAACGGACGACGTGGTGGACCAGACGCAACTATGCGCTCATTTCCCCTAGCAATGTGTCACGGCATTCGACTTTTTCTCCGGCCATGACGGCGAATGGCTATATTCGACGTCGGAATTCGGCAATGCATAACCTCGTGCAGTGGCAGAACATTGGTGGTACCTAACCGACATCAACCCACCAGATACTGACTATGGCTGAGCCAGTCGCCACGGCATATACAAGAATAAACATGACATCAGGCTGCCAGCGCATTGACGGCAGTGTGGAGGCTTGGTTCGTTCATCTTACGCACAGGATGTGTAAGCAGTTGAGGGTGTAGGAAGTATTGTGTATTCTGATGTGTATCATGATAGGAGCAAGTTTAAATACGGTGTTATTAGTCAGTGGGCAACCACGTGACCATACATGGTACTTCTGGGCTTACACACCTCCCTCAGGTTCGAACGCATGTTGAAGCTAATGTGATCATAGGCCACCCCCTGCTCTACAGAGTAGGGCTGCTTGCAAGAGTGCGGTGGGTTGCCGCTTGTATTGGAGCAGTGCCAGGTGGGGATCGTCCGCCGTCGCGGTGTAGGTGGACCTCGCTCTGTACTATGGGCGTCCCCAGTAGTCGGACGTCTCCTAGAGCTAGCACTGAGGTCCTGACTGCTTCTTGTTCTTGTATGGAGTTCAGTAGTGTGCCTTGATATTTAATGAAAGAGCTTTGTAAGCGTACAGCCTCGTTAAACCTGTAAAAACCATAGAGGAAAAACCAGGAAGAGTACTGCACTATATAGC